AGCTCCAGACTCCCGCGGCGAGGCTGGAAGTTAACTCCTCGCCTGCCGCCTGCCCGAGCTCCAGCCGCCCTCTCCCGGCGCCTGGAGGCTCCCTCGGGGCTCACCAGGGCTACAGCTGAGACCTGGCAAACTCAGCCAGTGCACGGGGTGTCACCGAGGGACCCATCCTCCGTCCCCACTGCCCGTCTGACCTCCCAGGCTCTGACACAGGAGACATTGCACAACCCGGGGGGAAATCTCTCAGCCTGGGTGCCCGTGGGTGCCCTGGGCCCTGCCAACGGTGGAGTGAGTGGCCTGGGAGCCATCCTGGAGCCATCCTGGAGGATTGCTCCCCACTGCAGGGCATCCTGGATCCTCCTGGAGCCATCCTGGAGGATTGCTCCCCACTGCAGGGCACCTGACAGGAGCACCACGGTGCCCTGTGAGGGGTGCCCCTGTCCCAAAGTCTGTGTCCGTGCCCCACAAGTGGCATCTTTGCCCCACAGTTGGTCTCCCTGCCCCAAGAGGGACCATTGGTACCAGGCAGGGTGGCCATGCCAGCAGTGTCCAGCTGCTCCAGGCCGATAAGCCAGTCCAGCACCCTGGGCCAGGCGCCCACGAGGCCCCAGGCACTCACCATTACCCATCCACCGGGACCAGCTCAGGGACCAGCACATGTCCCCCAGATCCCTGAGACCCAAATCTGGTCCATCACCCCAGCCCACATCCAGAACCCTGGGACAGAAGCAAAGGGCATGTCTTTGGGAAGTGGGAGCAGGAGGACATGGAGAGATTTCCCCAGCTTGGCCCATGGGCTTTGTCATCTCTCACCCTGAATTATTCAGTGCACGGCTCTGCCTGCGGCGTGTCTGCTCCAGCCACACCCCCAACTAATGGCAAAAATTGATGGCTTTTTAGCTCCTCATGGCCAGAAAGCTCCAGCCGTGCTGCTCTGGGTCCTGTCCCCCAGGAGAGAGATGGAACCAGCCTGGAGGGTAGTTTATCCCAATTCCATCTCATAGAATCACAGACTCATGGAATGGTTTGGGTCAGAAGGGACCTTAAAGACCATCTCATTCCTCTGCCATGGGCAGGGACACCTTCCACCAGCCCAGGTGAATCCAAGCCCCATCCAACCTGGCCTTGGACACTTCCAGGGATGGGGCAGCCACAGCTTCTCTGGGCAACCTGTGCCAGGGCCTCACCACCCTCACAGGAAGATTCCTTCCAGTGTTCCATCTAACCCTGCCCTCTGGCAGTGGGAAGCCATTCCCCCTTGCCCTGCCCCTCCAGGCCCTTGTCCCAAGTCCCTCTCCAGCTCTCTTGGAGCCCCTTTAGGGACTAGAAGGGGCTCTCAGGTCTCCCTGGAGCCTTCTCTTCTCCAGGCTGAATGTTCCCAGCTCTCCCATAAGAGAGCATAAGAGCTGTGCAGAGTGTTTGCAGTGATCCTGTTTCCATGCTGGTCCCTCTCCTGCCCGTGGGATGCAGATGGGTACCCCCACCACAGCCAGACTCCCATGGTGCCCCAGGTCCCCCCAGTGCGGCGCCAGGGCCCTGGCACCCACCCAGGCACCCACTCACCAGGAACAGGCTGCAAGGAGCAACAAAAAATGTTAAAATTTAATGCCTCAGCTAATGGGCCGAGTGGAGCGGAGCAGAAACACGGAATAAAAGGGAACTGGCCAGTGTGTCCAGTCCCTGGGAGCCCCTGATCCCACTCCATATTATACTTCCTGGAAGAAGGGGAGACCTTCCCTGGCTGATGGGACCCTGCTGCCCCCTCGCTCAATAAAAACCCAGTAGTGTCAACCCAGAGAGGCAGGTCATGAACACTTGTGGCTCCCCACAGGAGCTCGTGGTTGGTGACAGACTGCTCAGGGTGGGACCTGGCTCATGGGAGCCCAAGCTCCATCATCCTCCTCCACCACCACCCGCACCTCTGCTGGTGTCCCCACAAACCCCACGGGAGGCTGAGAGCAGGGAGAGGTGTGGAAGGGTAGGTCAGGACATCCTGTTGTGTTGCCTGGGTGGGATTTTGAGGTCTGGGAAGAAGGTTGGGACAGATTCTGATCTTTGTGTGGGTTTGAAAGAAGCCACAGCCCAAATGAGTCCTCTCTCCTGCCTGTAGGAGAGTGGAGGAATCTCTCATTGGAGGGAGCAGGCTGCCATTGCTGCCCCTCTCCCACCTGCTTCTCCGGCTCTGGAGCTGTTGGAAGGGGTGATTTGGACACTGGGATGAATTTCCAGGGCTCCCTTTCAGATACATGCAAAACATCTGACTCACAAAGCCTGCCTGGAGCTTGTTCCTGCCAGTGCTCCCCCACACCTCCCCCTCAGTGCCCTGACCCGGGGGCTTCTTTGGTCCCAGTCTAGGAGCAGCTGCCCTTCACGGGCTTTGGAAAGCCATTCCTAGGGATACAATCAGTGTGCCAAAAACCCAGCACCCACATAGCCCCAGATGAATCCCAATGGGGAGCAAAGCAGGAGGCAGGAGGACCTGGCCAGGAGCTGTGGTGGCCACAGAGGTCCCTTGCCCACCATGGCCACCCTGGGTGGTCCTGACCGGTCTGCCCAGCACAGGGATGTGGGATGGTGTGGGATAACAGCCCCAACTGACCTCTCTCCATCCCTGGGACACCAGGCTGTGGGTTCCTGTGCCTCACACAGGTGGAGGAGGATGAACACTCCTTCTGGAGAGAGGCATTTTGGGAGCACCCCTTCCCCAGAGCACAGGCTGCGGTGGGTTTATGTAATGAATTACCCACATTTGTACTTTCTGCAGGAATTTGTACTCGGGAATTTTACCTGCTGGGTTTATACATCTTGCTAAATAAGCAAACTCCTTGCCAGGGAACTCGGGAGACATGGGGAGTGGTGGGGGTTTGCGGATAAAACTTTTCCAAGCCGCTTTATTGGACTTATAAAACACAGCTTAACCCTTTTCATTAAATTGCTTTACATGAGGTGGCAGGGCAGTAAAATGCTCACTTATCCATGGCATTCCAAATGAGTTACAGCTCAGTTTGTGGCAGGAACAATGAAGGAGATGGGAACAGAGAGGTGGGATGGGAGGGGAAGCCCCGCCAGCGGCTGGGTTGGCACGAGGCTCAGACTCACCCTGACAGCAAAACCCCAAATGCTGCAAAACAGGAATAAAGCAATTAAACGTGATGAATATTCGAATGTGGGATTGAAGGGGCTGCAATCAAGGCTGGAGCTGTGCAGGAAGCTTGGATAAGAGGGCTTCAAATCACCTTCCAGTGCATTTGAGCGGCTGGTTGTAATAAAAATTAAGTGATAAACCATGCAGAGACAAATTATTTTCACAAATCCTGTTCCCTTGATCTCCCAAAACAGCTGTTCAGCTCCACAGTATTTCCCTTTCTTCTGTGTTTTAAAACATAAAGTTACATAAATTAAAAAAGGAGGAGGACTTCTACCTTGTGGCTAGTCCAGGCACGGTCCAAACCATGCTGCCTCCCAGTCTGAGGAGCCCCAAACTCAAATGGGGGCTGCCACACTCAGTGATGGGGTGGATTCTGTATTTTCTTTCAGATATGGCACCTGCAGCAATGGGCAGAGCTCCAGAAATGGGATAAAGCAGACCCAGGGTCTGGCATGGCCCCATTTCCAGGACACAGTTCCTGTGCTCCAGGGATGCTGGTGGCAGAGGGAGTCCTTGCACCTCGAATTTTGAGGACCTACAACACCACGATCCCCTGATGGGATTGTGCGAGACCTGTTATTGCCTGTGTGAGGCACAGGGACACTGGGGACACCGTGCTGTGTCTGTAAGATCTAAAGGAGGCCTGGAAGAAAAATGGGGACAGACTTTTTATAAGGGCCTGGAGGGACAGGACAAGGGGCAGTGGCTTCCCACTGACACAGGGCAGGGTTAGATGGGATATTGGGAAGGAATTTTTGGCTTTGAGGGTGGTGAGGCCCTGGCACAGGTTGCCCAGAGAAGCTGTGGCTGCCCCATCCCTGGAAGTGTCCAAGGCCAGGTTGGATGGGGCTTGGATTCACCTGGGCTAGTGGAAGGTGTCCCTGCCCATGGCAGGGGGTGGAACGAGATGGGCTTTAATGTCTCTTCAACCCAAACCATTCCATGCTTTATGATCCCTTTGCCTCGGGGCACAAAGCAAGGACAAAGGCTTGCAAAGCTCAATAATCACCCTCAGCCCCACATCCTGTGCTTAAAAGCTGTTCCACCTCCTTGGGTTTTGCACGGAAAACAGGAATAGAGAAGAAATCTCCCTGTAGGGACCCAGAAATTTGGCAGAAGGTTCTCTTCCTTCTTTTTGCTTCACCAG